TATTGACCGTATCATTTATGTACCTCCTCCAGATGTGGAGGCTCGGTTTCAAATCCTGAGAGTACATACTAGTGCCAGTCCCTTGGCAGAGGACGTGGATTTGGAGGAGATTCCTTTGAACAAGGAGTTGTTCTCAGGCGCTGATCTTGAAAACTTGTGTAGAGAGGTAAGAAATTCTGCAATGTCTGATTTAAAAAAAGTGCAAAAATGGTGTACCTGGTTTAGTTTAAACTTCTCAATGTTTCTTTTTAGTTGATAATCTCTTTGTTTTGTTTTTAAAACATTAAAATATCATTGTGTAATCCCTCCAGGGTTCAAGGTAACAGTCTGTATCGCAAGATTAAATTTCTTAATTTATTGTGTGACAGGTAGCTTCTTTATGGTATAAAAAAAGTTGGGGTAGTCAAGCGAACAACTTTTTCCACCGAAGAAGCAGCTGAAGATTTCCCAATTCTCTTAACCAATCAGAACGAGTATTCCGAAACGCCAGCTCGTCGCCATCAGATACGTCATGTTGCTAAGCCGCAACCGTGGTGCCTAATACCGCTGGCTCACCCAATTCCCTGAAATGGGATTATGACCAAATAACCGAGGTGAACCTCCATGAATCTATTGGTAGAGTGAGCGTTTCCTCTGATTTTGATGGTTGGTTGACATTGTTCGTTATTTTGCAGGCCGCGCTGTATGCTCTTGAAGATGGAGGCATGTCTGTTGGTAGAGCGGAGCATAAGCATTTCATGGCAGCCTTGTCGACAGTAAAACCTTCCCTAACAACAGCACATCTAGAAAAATTTAAACTGCTACAAAGGTGAAATCTTGGTTTCCTTATGTACAAATTAAGCTAAGCTAAACTTCTGTTGACCAGAGATAAGTAAATGAGTGAGGAGGTTTGAATTCCTTTAAATGTTGTCTAAAAGTGACTTTCCTAAAGTGTAAATACTAAAATTTATATTTTCGTCATTTTTATGTGGGCCAAATATGATCTGAAGGCAAAAGTTTGTCTCAGAATTAGTCTTGAAATAATTGTCGTGAAATGAAGCTTCTGAAGTCTTGAGTCTGCAAACTTAAGGTATACGGTAAAATATTTTAGACTGAAATAGGCATTCTGTTTCAAGTCAGTGTCCTGTGCATTTTCCTGTGAGTTTTCTTGCAATCTGTGAGCCTGTCTGCAAAATAATTGCTCCATGCCCTTACTTGTTTATCTATTGTGTTATGGACGCACTCGAGAAGTTGTTAGACCTTTCGCAAAACTAGAGTTGTTCTTAGCGATGCCTCGAGCAACATTTAAGCTTCTATCGTGCTCTTTCAAATTTGTCAATGTATAGTAACCCTACCGTAATTCTTTGGGATCTCTGCGCTAGCGAATTATCCAAGAATTAATGAGCACTTAAAGACAGACACCAAGGGAAACAGAGAGGTATGTTTCCCCGAGACCCTTAATGTTTGAACATTGAGGTCGAAGGGAAACATTTATACTCACTGTATCCCGTTTGGCCAGTCATTAAGTGTTTTGTTATAGAGTGGAACCCTGCCTTACGGCCACCCCGTTAATACTGCCACCTCGTTATTATGGGCACTGTATTCTGGCCCGAACAAAAGATCAGTCATTTTCGTTATTTAAAGAACCCCTTTAATACGGTTACCCCGTTAATACGGCCAGATTTTTGTGGCCCATTGGTGACCGCATTAACGTGGTTCCACTGTACCTCCCAACTAAAAAATAGAAAGAAAAAACACTGCCAAAAAATCGTTAGCCTGCGAACGCAGACGTATTTCCGGCCGTCACTTGGTTCCGCCGAAAAATAACGTCCGCGAACCCGAGCCAGGAAACGATTTCTGTGACGTAATGACTTGTTTCTCCTTGGCCATTCAGATTCCATGATAGAGTGAAACTCGAGTGCTCCTCGCAGCGAATACCTCGCGCAGTAGTTCTG